GTCTAGCGAGCCAGCGTCTTACTCACTTACCCACCGTGGCTCCCTCTAAGTAAAAGACTCTTACAAGGAATAATTAGACAAAGTTTGAATCCACAATGTCTACTGGTATTTAATATGTGCTTATTGCAAGAAAATATTAGCACTATAAAATGCCAGGGGAGACTGTGTTCAAGACTCTTCCAAGGGATAATTAAACCAATTCAGAAAACGCAGCGTTCACTGGTATCTAGTATGTGCTTATCATAAGAAAAAAATTAGCACTATAAAATGCTATGGTAGACTGTGTTAAAAACTCTTCCAAGGAACAAGTAAAATAATCCTGAAAACGCAGAGTTCACTGGTATCTAATGTGGGCTTATTATAAGAAAATATTAGCACTATAAGATGCTAGGAGAGACTGAGTTAAAGACCATTCCAAGGAATAATTCGACAACGTCTGAATCGGTAGTGTCTTATAATATGCGCTTATTGCAAGAATATATTACCACTATAAGATGCTAGTAGAAGCTGTATTAAAGACACTTCTAAGTCATAATTAGACAAACTATCAATCCACAGTGTCTACTGGTATCTAATGCGTGCTTATTGCAAGAAAATATTAGCACTATAAGATGCTAGGGGAGACTGTTAAAGACTCTTCCAAGGAACCAGTAAACCAATTCTGAAAACGTTCACTGGTATCTAATGTGCTTGTCATAAAAAAATATTAGAACTATAAAATGCTAGGGACATTGTGTTAAAAACTTTTCTAAGGAATAAGTAAAGAAATTCTGAAAACGCAGAGTTCACTAGTATCTAATAAGGGCTTATTATAAGAAAATATTAGCACTATAAGATGCTAGGGGAGACTTAGTGCAAGACTCCTCCAGGGAATAATTAAACGAATTCTGAAATCACAGCGTTCACTGGTATCTAATATGTGCTTATCGTAAGAAAATATTAGCACTATAAGATGCTGGAGGAGAGTATGTTAAAAAGTCTTCTAAGGAACAAGTAAAGAAATTCTGAAAACGCAGCGTTCACTAGGTATAATTAGACATATTTTCAAAATACAGTGTTTACTGGTATCTAATACTTATCATAAAAAAATATTATCACTATAACATTAAGAAGGTATTAGTACTATAATATGCTAGCGGAAACCGTGTTAAAGACACTTCCAAGTTATAATTAGACTTAACTTTGAAAACGCTGTATCTACTGATATCTAATATGTGCTTAATGCAAAAAATATTAGTACTATCAGATGCTAGGGGAGATTAAATTCAAGACTCTTCCACGGTATAATCAAACCAATTCTGAAAACGCGGCGTTCACTGGTATCTAATATGTGCTTATCATAAGTAAATATTAGCACTATAAGATAATAGGGGAGACTGTTAAAAACTCTTCCAAGGAACAAGTAAAAAAATCCTGAAAACGTTCACTAGTAACTAATATTAGAAAATATTAGCACTGTAAGATGTTAGGTGAGACTTAGCTAAAGACCATTCCAAGGAATATTTAGTCAAAGTTTGAATCTGCAGTGTCTACTGGTATCTAATATGTGCTGATTGCAAGAAAATGTTAGCACTATAAGATGCTAGGGGAGGCTGTATTAAAGACACTTCCAGGTCATAATTAGACAAAACTTTGAATCCACAGTGTCTACTGGTATCTAATGCGTGCTTACTGGAAGAAAATATTAGCACTATAAGATGCTAGGGGAGACTGTTAAAAACTCTTCCAAGGAACCAGTAAACTAATTCCAAGTCTTAATTAGATAAAGTTTAAATCCGCAGAAAATATTTTAACCAATTCTGAAAACGCAACGTTTACTCGTATTTAATATGTGCTTATATGATAAGAAAATATTAGCACTGTAAGATGCTAGAGTTTTAAATATACAACTGTACTTCCAAGGCATAATTAGACAATAAGGCACAGTGTCTACTATAAGACGCCAGTTAAAGACTCTTCCAAGGAATCATTAGACAAATTTTGAAAATGCAGTTTCTACTGGTATCTAATATGTGCATATTGCAAGAGAATATTAGCACTATAAGATTCTAGGGGAGACTGTGCTCAAGGAATAATTAAACCCGTTCTGAAAACGCAGCGTACACTGATACTTATCATAAGAAAATATTAGCACATAGGAATAAGAGTAAACCTATTCGAAAACGACATCGTTCACTGGTATCTAATATTAGCACTATAAGATGCTAGGGGAGGCCGGGTTCAAGACCCTTCCAAAGAATAATTATACAAAGTTTGAATCCGCAGTGCGTACTAGTATCTAATTGTGCTTATTCTAATAAAATATTAGCACTATAAGATGCGAGTGAAGGCTGTATTAAAGACAATTCCAAGTCACATTTAGACAGACTTTCAATTGACAGTGTCCCCTAAGATGCCAGGGGAGATTATTAAAAACACTACAAGTCATAATTAGACAAAGTGTGAATCCGTAAGGTCTACTGGTATCTAATATGTGCTTATCATGAGAAAATATTAGCACTTTAAGATGCTAGGGGAGACTGTGTTAAAGACTTTTCACAGGAACAAGTAAGTCTATCCTGAACACACTGTTTACTGGTATCTAAGCTGTACTGCAAAGACACAATAAATTCTAAAAAAATACAATGATTACTTTTATCTATGTCCATATTTACGGTGGCCTGTTAGTGCCATACACTGATTTATACCTTTTTCTTGAAATTTACTTCATATGAGAAATCGAAGTGAAAACTGTGATAAATAAAAAAAACACGAAAAACCTTTCCACCGCGGTGTAAATATTTTCTCCGCGGTGTAAATATTTTTTTATTTATCACAGTTTTCACTTCGATTTCTCATATGAGGTAAATTTCAAGAAAAAGGTTTAAATCAGTGTATGGCACTAACAGGCCACCGTACATATTAGTGTGACGGTTATTTAGGCTACCGTTTATACAGAAGATTTATCCGTATCCACTCACATTACCTAGTCTTTCGTCACATAAGCAAACCGTTCCTATTGTGCGTGTGTATTACAAGAAAACATTCCCCTATGTGACGCTATGGTGTTTTATCACCCAATAATACATTCTACAGTAGATATCGCTTGTGTGATATATTTCATAATCTACTGCGAATTTGATTGGTCAGTTGAAAAGGAACTACTTTTTTTTTATTTTCAAAGAACAGTTCATTTATTATTAAAAGTAACTTTTCTTTTTATTAAAAATGAACTATTATTATTCAATTGACCTTGATGGAAACACTGGGTCAATATAAAGGACTTTGCAATGGTTGAATTGCTGTCAAAAAATGATGTATCACTATGCCGTAATGTTCAGTAAAAGTGAAATCTACAGCAAAGAATTATATTTATCTATTTGTGCATGTAAGAAGGGATTACGTGATAGTGTTCATATTTTTTGATATCAAAAAAGACTGGTAGGAGATTCTCTATGTATACGCTTACATACGAAAAACAAATCTGGAAAAACAAATTTCTAAATACAAATCTCCAAATACAAATCTTACAAAACATTTCTCCAAAAACATTTCTCGATATTCATCGAACCGGAACATTATGACGACATAAGCGGAAATCAACCTGGCATACAATAAGTCACCATACAACTATGAAAATGTCTATAGGTATCTAACATGGGCTTATTATAAGAAAATATTAACATTATATATAAGATACTAGACTTCCGTGACAGAAATAGACGAACTCTTAAAATAATTGGCTTTACTGGTTCACAAAAAAACATTTACGTTATAAGTACCATATTGGAGTCTGGGGACAAATATATTTCGGGGATATAAATATGCAAATAGTTAAAATGTAATGTTTACTAATATGAAATAAATGCTTATTATAAAAAAAATATTAGCACTATCTAATAGGAACTGTGTTAAGAGATACTTCCAATACACAAATATACTTACTACACTCGTTACTTTTTATAGTTAAATTGGGTTTATTTTGTGTCGTTTGGTAATAGTTGATGTGATGTTCCGTGTTTAGGTATTATGACATCAAGTATTACAAAACTTAAATGGAGTTTAACGTACTGCACCGACCGGGATAATGAAGACGGGCACACGTGCTGTGAGAGAAATTTTTATCGGACAGTGGCACAACTGCCTATATTTTTTTTTGTTGAATTCCAAATGCCGGGTTTTCCTTGCTGCATCTTCTCGTCCAACACCGCGATCGAACACGGGAGTCAACGTCTCACCCATGACCGATCCGCCGTATCTCACATGTATAACAAAATATTGTTAGAAATGTGTGTTCAGTCCTACTCAAACTAGACTTGCTTGTATGAAAAGTTGTTCTCAAGTTCAAAGGAATGCCTTCTAACATTAATGTATATATTTTTTTTATATACTCTTAAAAAAAATAGGGGATATTCAGAAACAATACAAAACTGCGGAAATGAACTGCTGTTTTTATTAGAGGCAACCAGTGTTGGCATGCTCCCAATCAACCGTCCAATCACGATTTGGGGCAATCTGACCCACTCCTCTTGCAGTGTCACGGCCAATTCTCGCAGTGTTGTCGGTTGAGGTCGACGAACAGGTCTCCCGATCAAATTAAACGTAGCACACTAAAGCAAAGATACGCTAAACAGTAAATCTTATGCAAGAACCGATAGGAAATCAAACATGGATTGGATAAACCAGCAAGCGGCAGTTTTCACCAACCCGTCCTTGAAGTGTCAAATTGACAATGAACCCCTCCCACGTGTATGGGGCTATTGCGTGTCGCACATGCAGCACGACAGTGGTTCTGTTGGAGCGATAAGTTCTTCATCTGTGAACATGTCAAGTGTCCATGACTATTTATCATATCACAACCTGCATAGGTATTTGCATTTCAATATCCCCTACTTTTTTTGGAGAGTATACAATACCCAATTTTCACACACGTTGATATATTTCTATCCCTGTTCTAGTTTTTGACCTCAACACTATTTTTGGCATATACACACATGCGCAATCAAGTGATTTTAATTCTATCGAGCATTATTTATTTTCTTTCCTGCATGAGATTTAGTTGAACTGTTATAAGATATGTACAATATGTTATCTGTGATAATAAGTTTAATAGTATGTTATAATATAATATTAACAGAATCTAAACCTCCCCACATCGTATTTATTGTGGCTGATGATCTAGGTAAGTATATATAATATGTATTCTGTTTATTTTGGCTGATTTGCAATTTCTTCGATAATCATAAAGTATCGCGCAGATTTGTCAGCAAACAATGTAGGTCTAGTTCGTAGACAGTATAATGTAATTACAGTGGAAAATAAAATTGTCTAGTGTTTTGGATGAGACGAAAAACTTAAGTCCCGTATACAAGGTGGCGTGCACGTATAAAACCCCTTGATAGTTGGAATTCGAATTAAGAGTAGACCGAGACGAAAAAAACGAGGTCCCGTGTACACTGACATGCATGTAAAAAAAGATAGGTATAAGAGTATATAGGCCGTAGCGACGCTGTCCGGGCAAAATTTCCCTCATAGCACACTACATGGCGTATTCTCGTCTTAATTTGCACGTTTGGGGCGGGAAATTAGGGCGTTAAACCACATTTTAGTTGCCACCACATAATCAATAGACAACCTCGAACTGATCACGATATTAAAATAAAGTACATTAAAGTACATGAAAACAGTCCTATATTGTGAACCGCAGACACGTGACCATTTATAACCTTATATTTTGTTTATACCTTACGCCACCTCTACCAACACCTGTGTGTATAACCATGCTTTGTTACTAACATATATACCGGCGTCTACTAAATATCGTGAAAAACCTGCTGACAGTCCAATATGGTCAACCGCAGGCACGTGATCGTTTATAACCGTGTCAATATCTATAAATAGATCTATTCACTGCCATTTGGGACTGAACTCATTATTAATGAGAAAGGGAAGACATACTCACCAAACCAAGCCATGACCAGTGCCGCTGTGGCCCCAAATGGGAGGATTGCAAAATCCCATTCTAATATAGCCCATATAGGAACAAGCTTCAGCTTCTCCTGCAATGACGAAGCAGACGTTAAACCGCCAGCTACTACTGACAGTGCTTAAAACTGTGCTTATAACTACGCCTTATTGCTATATACAATTACATATTTAAAAAAGCGTGGATTGGCGCCAATATATAGGGAGGAGGGGGGTGGGTGGATGGCGGAATGGTTAACTCGTGCGCGCTGTATCATAAGGTCTGTCATTGAGTCAACTGGCGCGGTTTCGATTCCCGGTTGTACGTGACAAGGAGTACGTGAACCATAATATGTTCGTCCCGAAATTACTTAGTTTGTGTCGATTGGACGTTACCCCCTCTCTCTCTCTCCCTCTTCTTTCACTCTCTCTCTCTCTCTCGCTCTCGCTATTATATCACTCATATATGTATGGTATAGTTCCGGGTGGGTCATCAGATTCAATAACCCTTTTCGATGAAATCCATAATTGTTTGACAACGATACCACTTGGTCAATTGTCAAGATTCTGGGGCCCGTTTCACGAAATTTTAACTAAGATAAAATCCAAATTTTAGTAATTTAATTGGATAATATATATTAGATTGAGTTTAGTAGTTAGCCAATCAAAATTGAAGTATCTACTGAAATTTGGATTTTATCTTTAATTAAGATTTCGAGAAACAGGGTCCTGCACAACATTATTGACATCTTCAGCGAATTATTATGAGCTGCAGCAAACCGCCTATTGGGGTTATTCCAAAATATTTCCAACGTTGTTTCCCCCCTGTCAGTGATGAAGGGCGGAGGTCCTGACAAAGACAGCTATCTAGTCGATTCCCCGGTGTACGTGACAAGGAGTAGGGTCGCTTGTCCAATCTCGTGGGTTTTCTCCGAGTCCTCCGGTTTCCTCCCACTGGAAGTTTCTTTAATTTAATACATTACTATTATAGCATCTTATAAAGCAGGGCCGTAACTAGCCCAGAGCAACGAGGGGGGGGGGGGGGCGGTAAGTGTTCTCAGGGGTGCTGTAATATTGACGGACAATGTATATCTATTTTTTTTATGGTCGAAAATTTTTCACGGGGGGGCGGGGCGAAACTTTTCACAGGAGGGGGGGGGGGAGGCTTCCACCCCTGCGCCCCCCTAGTTACGGGCCTGTTATAAAGCTAATATATTCTTTTAATAAGCACGTATTAGATACCAGTAAACGCCGAGTTTTACGAATTGGTTTACTTGTTCCTTCAGGATTCGTTTACTTATTTCTTGGAAGAATCTTTAACACAGTCTCCCCATGCATATTATTATATATTGCTAATATTTTCTCATAATAAGTACATATTATTAGATACCAGTAAACGCCGCGTGTTCAGATTCGGCATACTTGTTCCTTTGACGAGTCTTTTTTCAGAATTCGTTCACATGTTTGTTTGAAGAGACTTTAACACAGTCTCCCCTAGCATCTTATAGTGCTATTTTTTCTCATAATAAACACATATTAGATACCACTCAACGCGATGTTTTCAGAATTGGGTTACTTGTTTCTTGGAAGAGTCTTTAACACAATCTCTGCTAGCATCTTATAGTGCTAATATTTTCTTATAATAAGCACATATTGAATACCAGTAAACGCTGCGTGTTCAGAATCGGTATACTTGTTCCTTTGGCGAGTCTTTTTTAGAATTCGTTTACTTGTTTCTTGGACGAGTCTGAGTCTCTCTTATCATCTTATAGTGCTATTTTTTTCTCATAATAAGCACATATTAAATACCAGTAAGCGCTGCGTTTTCAGAATTGGTTTTCTTGTTCCTAATTGTGTGCTAATATTTTCTTATAATAAGCACACAGTAAATACCATTAAACGCTACGTGTTCAGAATTGGTATACTTGTTCCTTTGGCGAGTCTTTTTCAAAATGGTGCTATTTTGTTCTCATAATAAGCACATATTAAATACCAGTAAAATCTTGCGTTTTCTGAATTAGTTTACTTGTTCCTTTGATGAGCCTTTAACACACTCCTCTCTAGCATCTTATAGTGCTAATACGTATTGTCTTATAATAAGCACATATTAGATACCAGTAAACGCTGCGTTTTCCGAATTGAGTTACTTGTTTCTTTGAAGGGCTCGCCAACCCGGGGATCGCGTGTTCGATCCCTGCATTGGCCGAGAAAATTCATCTGGATTTACCGGCGTGATTTCCCCTTGTCAGTTTTGCAGAACGGAGGGCCTGACAGAAACAGCTGTCTAGTCATTCCGATGGGACGAAAACGAGGTCTCGTGTATACATTGGCGTGCACGTAAAAGATCCTTTGGTAGTTGAAATTCTATATAAAAATAGGTCATATAGTGCCGCTGCCGGGGCAAAATTTCTCTCATATCACACTGTATGGCGTATGCTAGTCAGCATTAGCCCAGTCAGACCAGAACAGTAGGACGTTAAACCCCATTTCATTTCATATCATTTCAACCTTTGAAGATATTTAACACACTCTCCCCTAGCATCTTATATAATATATGTTTGTAATAAGCACATTTTAGATACCAGTAATGGCTGCCTTCAGTTTGAAGGGTCTTTTTCAGCATTCGTTTACTTGTTTTTTTGGTAGATTCTTTAACACAGTATCCCCTAGCATCTTATAGTGCTAATATTTTCTCATAGTAAGCACACATTAGATACCAGTAAAAGCTGCGTTTTCGGAATTGGTTTACTTGTTCTTTTGAAGGGTCTTATTCAGAATTAGTTTACTTGTTTCCTGGAAGAAGCTTTAATACAATCTCTCCTAGCATCTTAGGTATGGTTTCAAAGTATGTCTAATTATGCATCGGAAGTTTATTTAAAGGAGCCAAATCGCTAATATTTTGAACCTAGAAATTGACACAAATGGGTCACAATGCATATAATAGTGGAATATGAATGTATATAAACTGATTTACATTCAATCGTTTCCGTTTTTACTTTTACTCTAATTTCAAAATATTTATGTTCAGCGAAATGCGTCAGAAGTCGCAATCGAATAGTAATCTCTAGCGTCTGGTTATTCCAGTCTACACCGTTAGTATATATTGCGCATGCTCTACAGATAAGAATATGACGTCACAGTTTGACAAGACTTCAGGAATATGTCTAGCATCGTTCTTCGAGTCTCTTGTTACAAATGGCGCGGAAACGCATTATGGTACACGATTATATTATCTTGTCTTAAATATTGGATATCAGAAGCCCATCCTTACACGGTACAATCACATCAATGTTGATTTAAATTGACAAATACTTCGTGTTTTCAATGTCAGTGATATTGTGTTAGATACTTATCTACTTTAACACAATTTCCTCTGGCATCTTCCAGTGCTAATATTTTCTTATCATAAGCACATATTAGATACGAGTAAACGTTGCGTTTTCATAATTGGTTTAATTATTCTTTGGAAGTGTCTTTAACACAGTCTCCCCTAGCATCATATAGTACTAATATTTTTTTTGCAATAAACACACATTAGATACCAGTAGACACCGTACCGTGAATTCAAAGTCTGTTTAAATATGACTTGGAATTACTTTAACTAGTCTCCCCTAGCATCTTATAGTGCTAATATTTTCGTATAATAAGCACATATGAAATACCAGTAAACGCTGCGCGTTCAGAAATGGTTTACTTGTTCCCTTGACGAGTCTTTTTCAGAATTCGTTTACTTGTTTTCAGGAGTCTCCCCTGGCATCTTATAGTGCTAATATTTTCTCATAAAAAGCACACATTAAATACCAGTAAACGCTGCGTTTTTAGAATTGGTTCACTTCTTCCTTTGAAGAGTCATTAACACAAGTCTCCCCTAGCATCTTATAGTGCTAATATTCTCTTACAATAAGTATTCCAAAGAATTACTTGATGGTTTACAATCTAGATCACTTGCTTCAATCTCATCTATACAAACGTTTGACTTTTCTACTTTGTACACTAAAATTCCCCATAGTAAATTAAAAGCCCGGTTAAAAGACATTATTCACAGTGTCTTTTCATCTAAATCGGGAAATGTTAGATATCAATATTTAGTTGTTAATTATAACTCCACATATTTTGTTAAGAACCATAGTGATTCCAAAAATAAATTCACCGCCAACAAGATAATTCAGATGTTGGATTTTTTAATTGATAATATCTTTGTTGAATTTGGAGGGGAAA